GGTAGTTTACTGTGCACCCCATACTCATCCTGTGAGCGGTAGTTTACTGTGCACCCCATACTCATCCTGTGAACGATAGTTTACTGTGTACCCCATACTCATCCTGTGAGCGGTAGTTTACGGTGTACCCCATACTCATCCTGTGAGCGGTAGTTTAATGTGCACCCCATACTCATCCTGTGAGCGGTAGTTTACTGTGCACCCTATACTCACCCTGTGAGCGGTAGTTTACTGTGCACCCCATACTCATCCTGTGAGAGGTAGTTTACTGTGCACCCCATACTCATCCTGTGAGCGGTAGTTTAATGTGCACCCCATACTCATCCCGTGAGCGGCAGTTTATTGTGCACCCCATACTCATTCTATGAGAGGTAGTTTATTGAGCACCCCATACTCATCCTGTGAGAGGTAGTTTATTGTGCACCCCATACTCATTCTGTGAGAGGTAGTTTATTGTGCACCCAATACTCATCCTGTGAGAGGTAGTTTATTGTGCACCCCATACTCATTCTGTGAGAGGTAGTTTATTGTGCACCCCATACTCATCCTGTGAGAGGTAGTTTACTGTGCACCCCATACTCATCCTGTGAGAGGTAGTTTACTGTGCACCCCATACTCATCCTGTGAGCGGTATAGTTTAATGTGCACCCCATACTCATCCTGTGAGAGATAGTTTACTGTGCACCCTATACTCATCCTGTGAGAGATAGTTTACTGTGCATCCCATACTCATCCTGTGAGAGATAGTTTATTGTGCACCCCATACTCATCCTGTGGGAGGTATCGATGAAAGGATTACAGAAGGCACAAGTTGTTTTAATCAGTCCTCAGAGTGTTACCGGATATTATATGTTAGTATTTATTATACAATATACTATTATTGAATTATATCTGCCCATATAAATAAATATATAGGTTAACATTCCCTATAAGAGGTTTTATTTAATATGCAAGATTTGTACCTATTAATTAACGCCTATAGTATGCTCATGTGTGTATATTGTATGATTAAAATTACACTGTAGCATGTTTTATATATATATTTTCTTAATAAAGTGTTTAATATTAGCGAGGAGTGCGCTTGTCGCGCGTCAGGTGAGGCGCGCTGCCCCCACTGTAAACACTCTCACCCAGGCGGCACCAGGCCCTCACCTTCACCCCAAGCAAGTAACCCCTCTCCTCGCCCCCTCACCACCCACGCCTTCCCTCTCTCACCCTTCCCCCATCACTGCTCGCGGTGTTGGTGGTGTATATGTGACTCCGGCTTGGTTCATGTGTGTGTGGCGGGGGATATATGTGGCGGCGGCGGCGGTGTAGGCAGCATTGTGCGCGGGTCGGCGGCGGCCGCCTGCCGCTTCCTCCTCGCCAAGTGCTCGCCAAGTTTCTGCTCCCTTGTGCTCGCCACCCTGCATGTCCTCACACATTTACTAACTCCTGTGTGGAAGACGGAAGTTTTGTGGTTAATGTATATAGGAATTTAGATTTTGAGTGTGTTGAGTAACTGGTGTAGGCGAGGGCGACCCAAGGCAGCCGACCTGTGCCTAGGAATTATTAAGGAGACCACAGGCGGCGTCTTGGGTAATAGGAGGCAGCTATTGTTTATATTACATCAGTCTCTTGTCTCTCATATATGTGTGTAACCTATACTTGAACAACAAAATGATCTGGCATCTATATTAGCATTTATGATCTCTGGAGCAGCATGAATAATAAAGCTTTGGGATGTGAAGTTTTGAAGCTTGTTGGCTATTTAATATAGTAAGGAGAAAGGGAATCTAATTCCCTCCTTCCTTTACTTGACGTTCACCGCTCTGTCTCCGGGTTCTCTTTCTCTGTCTACCGCAAACCCATGCATAGTGGCATGTACATTCACTTCTTTTCCTACCATCCTCCTTCTGTTAAGAAAAGTGTCCTCGTCTCTCTCTTCCTCCGCACTCTACGCCTCAGCGACCCTCAGTTTTTTTATTCTGAAGTTGCCTTTATCTACAAATCATTCTCTCACCTTGGTTACCCATTGCATATTATCAACTGTGCCTACTCTCAAGCTAAACAAGATTTCTTCCCATCCTGCTTCTAACACTAGTACAGTTAGCACTGTACTATGCCTTCCCTTCATTTCTGAACTCAAAACTTTTACCAATACCTTTCGTCCTCTTGACATTAAGCTCGCCTTTCGGCAAACTAACGCTTCGTAGCAATCTAGTTCACACTACTCCTCCTGCTTCTAATGCTGCTGGTGTCTACTCTATTTCCTGTTTGTCTTGTCCTCTCCAATACTTTGGCGAAACTGGCTGTACACTTAATGACAGACTTAAAGAACACAAGAAAAGTGTCAAGTCTGCAAACACTAACAATGCTCTCTTCTGTCATGTGAGGGATTCTAATCATCCTATTGATTGGTCTTCCTCTAAAATAATCTTTCCTGCCTCTCCTCTACACAGACGCCGTCTTGTTGAATCGGCTCTAATACACAATGTACCCAACATGAACTTGAGTCCTGGCTTTGTTGCTGTGGACTCTTCCCTTTCACAGTATATACTCAAATGCTCTAATCTTTCTAACAAACGTGACCTAACATAAGCTTACCCTTCCATTTATCTTTCTTCTTTCCTTTTTTCTCTCCTCTCTTTTTTTTCTGTTCATTATTTTCTCTTACGTTCCCTTGCTATCCTCTTCTTATTCCTATTACTATCCTCTTCTCATTTGGTGGTTATAATAGGAGCTGCCACGTATGGGCCAATGGGCCTTCTGCAGTTATTCCTACTACTATCCCCTCTACTACACCTTACTTTGCTCATCACCTCTCTCTTGTCTATTTATTGCCTGCATCAACTTCCTCATCACTTGTGCACGGGAGACATCTCCTGTCACACAGGTGCCGTCGCACCTCCACAGATCTCCAGTATCAGCTCTTGATACTGGTAATGGCTCAAAAGGGCCACCACTTACGGGCTATTCATGCCCGTGCCACCTTTTGGGTGGCTTAATCTTCATCAATCAATCATCTTCCTCATCACCATGGAATACATCTCCCGTCACGCAGGGTGCAGTCGCACCTCCACAGATCTCCAGTATCAGCTCTTGATACTGGAAATGGCTTAAAAGGGCCACCACTCACGGGCTATTCATGCCCATGCCACCTTTTGGGTGGCTTAATCTCCATCAATCAATCTTCCTCATCACAATCGACTTGAGAATGGTCCAGGACGGACCGAAACGTCGTCGTCCCTTCACCTAGTGTGTGGTCTGGTCAACAGTAAGGAGAAACAAAACTGCCATGATTGACTAAAAGATGTACATATTTGATATGTGGACATGTAAATACTTGATAAATTTGGCTTATGCCAAGAGAGCATGCTACTTGCCCTCTGAGCCATCATGCAGGTAATCTGTCCCATAACACTGCTCACCAATGTAGTTTTGTGTTAGTGTCAGGGTTGACTTCTTTATACAGTATTTTCCTTTTCTAGCCAACGGTAAAATATTGATTTTACTGAACACTAAAATCAATAAGAAGAGTTTTGGTGTTAAAACCACAACAAATACTGCCTTTACACCAGGTAATAATCTACTGCTTATTGGTGAAAACTGCTCTGGTTTTTTTCATAAATTTTTTTCATCAATTCATCAAACTCGTGGCTGTGAGCACAAGTAGGGTCTGACCTATATGTTATTGCTACTCTCTAAACAAACTTGACCTAACCAAACCTAGGCATGCACATGGTGTGATGTCCCTCATAATTTTACTGGTGATACAGGTCCGCACAGATCCTACTGGTCACTACAGTGTTTTCTCTTACTTATCATAAGGACATAAGCTTGAGTTACTTCAGAGGGCTTGCCAGTCCATCTAGATCAAGGCCTTACTCACATCTTCCCTGTTGATACCCTTCATCCACTTGAAGACCTCAATCATGTCTCCCTTCACCTGTGCCCATTACCCGAGCTTGTTTATTTTATGTATACAGTATATATATATATATATATATATAATACACACATACCCTTATACCCTATGTTCAACCCTTTGACTGCCAGGAGCTTAAAACCCACTAACGAGTCGAGTATTCTGACCGCATGACTATCAGACTATTCAAGTCATTGGTAGCCGAGGCTATTTCCCCCAACAACCCGATAGCACTTGGTGGTCACAAATCAGAATTTGTTTTCATTTAATCAATTCACTATAGAGAAGAACTCAAACCTCAATTGTGAAGACAAACTTGTATAAACCACAAGATGAATGTATTAGAAAGACACCTCCCCGTGGGTTTGTGGGAGTACATATTGTGTACTTGAATATGTTGGGGCTTGTGGGAGTACACATACATTGGGTTTGTGGGAGTACATAATATTGAAGTTTTTATATTCTTGCAAAACCACTAACACGCATAGTGTTTCAAGCAAGGTCATGTGGTCATTACCTGACTTTACCTAATGGCTACCATCTCTAGTGGCCTCAACAGGGACAGGAAGGAAGTGGGTTCTCAAAGGTCCTCCCATTGGGATAAATTTCACCAGCCCGTGCTCATTGGGCTTTCGGTTGTGAACTGACTGCACGACAGAGCACCCATTAAAGAAGTTTTAACCAGCAATCTGTACCCCTTAGATCTTAACCCTATAAACTCCTTTTGAAATTTCTCAAACAAATGATATTCTTTTGTCTGAAGGGAATCATCCATCTATTAAACTCAATTCTTTTTTCAGGCACTCACTTCACTGGCTTCCCCAAATTTTCCAGAAATATAAATCTAAGTGTCAGGAAATACAATGTAAGAAGAAGTGATGTATATAATGGTGCAGCAGGTAGTATACACGATAGAATAAAACAACTAGTCAGCAGAGAAAGTGGGGAGAACCCCAGCTGGATAATGGATATTTTGAAGGAACTACTGTCACAAAGAGGTGGCTTACTGACAGGCATTTTGAGTCTTATGAAAGTCAGATCTATGTTGCATGAACTGTGTATTGGGAAGGATTTTGATCCAGAATAACCCCAGAATCTGTTGATTGAGAGTGGTGAGGGGTTTGATTTTTTTTTTGTAAATCCATTGAATGATTAATGTATATTAGTCCTATAAATTATATTCTCATCAGATATGTTGTTATTATGACACTCTTCGGTAAATAATCGACCGTCCAAGTGGTTGACCACCATTCCTTTCCCCCGTCCCATCCCAAATCCTTATCCTGCCCCCTTCCAAGTGCTATATAGTCGTAATGACTTGGTGCTTTCCCCTGATAGCTAACCACTAAAATTAAATTAAAAATTAGGTCAATAATTCACTGTATACTTATGTAATCTAACCCAACTATTAATGTACCAAACAGACATTTATGAATATAGCTATTGAATTGATTTGAATTTAATCTTACCTCAACTATTTTTTTTTCTAGTTTAAGCAAGGATCCAAGCTAATTAAAAAACTACAGCAATGGCAGATGGTGAGGTGACGAGTGTTATTTCTGATGCCAATGGCACATCTCCGAAAGAAGAAAAGAAAGAGAAGCGAGTTGCCTCACGAGGAGGAAGAGGTGGAGGTAGAGGAAGAGGAGCATTCAAAGGAAGAGGAGACGCTGATGATATGGTGAGTGCCATGCTGGGCGTACAGTTGGATACAAGTCGATTCATCCACAAGATTGTTCACTAATGGTTTTTAAAACCTTTCTAATTTTGCCCAAATTAACTAAATGTAACCCATCCAAGCCAAACACAGCCTAACCTAAGCTAATATATCCTAACCTGACAATATATATGTTGTCCAGGCATTGATGCAGTATCATTTGATGATAACTGGCTTGCTGGTACATGATAATTTCATCACATAGTAAGCAATGGCAAAGATCTAGTAAAGTTTTTCACTGGTCCTGGTTAACTCCTTTACATCCATAACCATTAACATTATTAGTATGCAAACTGGGCAGCAATGATGGAAATTGTCAAGAGATTAATTGCAATGGACAAAGTGATCAAGAAATGACAATTGGCTCATAATGATTGTTAATAGTCAGGATACATTCCTATAGGTGACAAAAGCTGCCATTTCTATTATAGTAATAGATTGCTATGTTGTTTGTCATACTCCTGCCTTGTTCTGTTGTCATTTAGTGGAGGATTTGTATGTCACTACTATAATTGGTTTTTAGAACTTTTTGCTTCCTCTGTTACATTCCTAGAACTTGGTGTTCAAAAGCAACATGGAAATATGTTCATCATTCTTATAAGTACTATAGTCTTTCTGGTGTCAGCCAAGATGTTTAGGTTTGACTGAACATATGAATAATAGAAATTGCAGAAGGCCTATTGGCTTGTACTATTCAGCTTATATATATATATATTCACCCAGACTCATTCATTTTTGAAGACTAAATCACACACCAGAAGATGAGGAGACGACGACGCTTCGGTCCCTCCTATTCCATTCTTATGTCTAACTTGTGCTTGAAATGATCACGTGATCCCACGTCTACTATGTTGCCTTCCTTAAATGGTTCAGCTAATCAGTAGACCTGTGGTGTGCACAACAAAAATTACTTCACAAAACAAATTTAACAAAATTGCACATGGCAATTCTAGCAGGCGGTAATGACAAATAGACTGGAACTGTTTAATTATTAAGAGTTAAGGGTAAACTTTTTAGTTCCAATAAGAAACAAAGAAAAGAAGATAGGTAAATTTGTTTGTTTATATGTAATTTGACCTGTTGTAAAATTATTTCTTGTTTGGTGCAATACAGAGAGAAAAGGATCCGTGTGGTGTGTTCCTGTTCTTCCCCAGTGTGATCACGGCTGACATAGCATCAGAGCTGCTGAGGGTGGGCAAAATTGCTACGGAGATAAGATTAGGAAAGTAAGTTTTATTGGTAGTGTGTTGAACGTTGCCCAGATTATTGGTATCCTTCATGACATTGGTTAATGTCAAGGAAATAGTTTTTTGGTTATTTTTTTCCCATTGGTTTAATTTCCTTTAAAAGTAGCAACACTCTTTAGGCTGTGGTTTATTAGACGACTGATAATAACTAAATAATCTGACCCATTCAGTTTATAACATGTAACTAATATTCAATTAATATTATGCAAAATAATTAGGTTGTTTGGTTATTATCTCAAATTTAATGCATGCCATAAAAATAAACGTGATTTCAGAAAGCCTATTGGTTCATGTAGGGGAGGGAGGGAATTATCGGGGAAAAGCGCAAAGCCATTACGACTATATAGCACTTGGAAGGATCAGGATAAGGATTTGGGATGGGACGGGGGAAAGGAATGGTGCCCAACCCCTTGGACAGTCGGGGATTGAACGCTGACCTGCACGAAGCGAGACCGTCGCTCTACCGTCCAGCCCAAGTGGTTGGGCAAGGTGCTAGTTGTATCCAGTCACACCCACATTTGTCTTGACCTTTGCTTGAAGTAATCCAGCAACCCTACAGCTGTTATTAAACTGCAACCTGTTCCATAATTTGTTGTCTTAACCTTTGCTTGAACCAATCCAGAACCCCACATTTGTTGAGTTAAATTGGAATCTGTTCCATAAATCAACAACACTTTCTAGACTGGACCCAAAACTAGTTTGGGGGCAAGATGTTGAGTTAACCTGGGTGAATGTGCCATAACCAATGTTATCATGTTATCAGTTTTGTTGCTGAAAAAACAGCTAACGCCAAACTCGTCCCGCGAGCACACATCACTATGGATCCGTTGCAGCAACACCGCTCATGCAAACGAGAGGAAGAGGAGGCAACTGGCCGCCTGTGGTATTCTCAACATTTATCTTAAGTTCAATCGCTGAATCAACCTGTGAAGAGATTCTCAAAGTAATTATATATTTTGAGTTGTAGAGGTTTATTTTGTTTCCATGGACAACTTATCAATCATTAGTAATGATGTTGATGGATTGAACAGATGTTTACTAATAAATATTTATTCAAGACTTAAATGTATGAAAAGTGATTATGATTAATACAGGTGACTTAAGACATTTACTCTTGAATGTTGTCGGGCTTGCCGGCTCGTGGATTGCTTGGGTGTTTAGAGGGGATTTTAGAGTGGTTGTACTCTAGAGTGTACGTTCAGTATCTCTGATATTGTTCACCTTATTTCTTTTTGTTCTCATAGTGGTATTTATGACTTTGAGTATCCTGCAACACAAACGGTGCTAAATAGTCTTCTCAGCTTGGTGTCTTCTCCTGATAGCTACTTTAGACTGTAAATAACAAAACAAAACAGAGCATTGTTCTTGAGGAATGGACATACTGTAGTTTCATATAGATTCATCAACAAATTAAAATAGTTGAAATCTATCAAATAAAATTTAGTTTTATTTAATTGGTTTGGGAGCCACATAAATATTCTAGCAAAAATATTAGTTTAATAGACAATTTATGAACAGTGTCAGCATAGGATACCGTAAAACACATATATTGGAGAATATAGCTAGTTAAAGACTTTTGTGAGAAATTAAGTATAGTTATTAATTAATAAGCTATTAATTAAGTGTCCAGGAGGCCTGGTCGACGACCGGGCCGTGGGGACGCTTAGCCCTGGAAGCACCTCAAGGTAGTGTTTAGTTGCATTTAGAGTTGTGCTTATGGCAAATTTAGGCAACAGGGCAACTGACAACTAACTGGATAATAGTGCAGTAAGTATTGAAGAGGAGAGGTAGGAGAATGTGTAGGAAATGTACCCACAAGACGTGTAGGTTTTAAACTACTGTACTCGTTACTGGTTAGGTGTATCTGTTGAGTACAGCTATACCTGTACTCTTACATCTGGCAGGCTCGTTATTTCATCCCTGGTTGTCTAAATGTTGGGCACCATTCCTGCACTCCGTCCTCATACTCCTTCCAAGTGCTATACGGTCATAATTGCTTAGCGGTTTTTCTCTTGATAATTATCGTTGATTATGGTCATTTAAAAAAAAAAAATCATAATTTTGGTGTTGGAGGCTGAATTGTCAGTTCCCACAGTCTTCTTCAAATAAATACAGTGCAGTAGTATAGTATTTTGCAAAAAATTTGTTAAACTAAAAATATATATAGGTACAGGCATAACAGAAATAATAATGTTATTTTGCAGGATGTGTTATATGAATTTTGCAACTGAAGATGAAGCTACTAAGAAAAAGAAGGAACTATCAGACATGGATTTCGATGGTGTCAAGCCACACGTTGATTCAGCCTTCAAACAGCGGTATGTAGACTGGGACCGCATGTTGCTATTTATAACAGTTAATTTGTGTGTGTGTTAACCTTAAATATTTCAGTAATCAGATGTTATCAGTTGCGGTAGTTGTAGAGTTGCCCTGAAATGCTGGTGTTTGTGATTCATGATTCCCAGTATGAAAAATGGGCCTGAGTAACGTTAAATTGATGTGACACTACTGATGCTTTTGGCCTCCACCACTACCACCTCACTTATCTTGTTCCTGTGTATAAAGATTATTACCTCTTTTTCTTCTATCTTGTAAGTTTGGTATATTTAATGTCTTTAACCTCTCTTAGTAGCTCTTGTTTTTTCAGGACATTTAGTTGCATGTCTTTGCACCTTTGCCGTCCATGTATTAAAAGCGATTCTAAAATAGTAAAGCGTAGCATAAGCTCCTTGCACAATGTTTTTATGTGGGCCTTAGGTGACTGTTTTCTATCTAGAACCACTCCCATATATCTTTATCAGAATTCTTTAAAGCTTTTTCACAAAATTTGTATATTGTGTGACCTATTTTCTTTCATTCCACATGCATAATGTGGCATTTGTTAACATTAAATTCTATTTACAATGTGTTGTTCCATATACTGTATTTATTTTGTCCAGGTCTTCTAGTAAGTCATGACAATCATTTAATGTTTCTTATCTTCTCTAGTAGCTTAGCATCATCAGCAAAAATGTTCATATAATTCTATATTCCTTCTGATAGATTATTTATATAGACAATGAACGTTTCAGTTGCTGGAACTGAGCCCTCTGATAGTCCTCTAGTAACATTTCTCTAGTCTGATACATTGCCTCCATTTTTCTGTCCAAAATTTTTTCATCAATGTCAGAAGTCTCCCTGTCACTCCTCCAGTATGTTCTCTATCCAGAACAACCTCTTACGTGAGACTGTGACAAAAGCCTATTTTAGGTCCAGATTAATCCTCTGTGACTATATCATAGAAACTAAGTAGATTTGTTATTCAGGATCTTCCTGTTTGAAAACCATCCTGTCTGATATTATATAATTTCTCTTCAGGTGTTTTTCCCATTTGGTATTAATTATTTTGTCTAATGTTTTCACTGTAATGTTTTGATTATTATGCTTGTCAACAATACAGATCTATAATTAAGAGGGTGTTCCCTGCTACCATTTTTGCAGATTGGAACTGTCTTAGCCTTTTTTCCATATATCTTCCAAGACTCCTGTACACTAAGATGACTGAAAAATTAATTAAGGTGGAGTATTGTGCTCAGATGTGCATTCTCAGATCCCAAGGTGAAACTCAGGATTCAGTTTCAATGTTCTCAACTTAATTTTTTATTCTTTGAGTATATCTAATAATTTGTATAAAAGCTTTGTCAATTTGATGATAATCATAGAAATGTTCAGTCTCAGTAATTAAAGATACAGTACTGTATATATAAACAGAACTGAATGCTTTTAAATTTTTAGAGTGAAAACCGTCAATTGATGAGAAATGTCACGTCAGGGTTAGCAGCAGGGAACAAAATTGGACTGAGTGCCAGTTTTCTAATAATGTGGTCCAAGTAACCTTAAACCATGGTACATTATATCAAATTTTGTAAGACATCTAATAAAATTATATTAATTAATAATGTAAGAAGAAAGGAAGGCAAGCAGTGAACGGGTGTGCACAAGGGAAACACAAGAGTAGTGTGATGTGCTGCACATGAGACTGTGCATGTGCACATTGTATAGCTCATGTGCTGCAACTTCTTGCTCAACACCAACCCAGTCCCTGTGCACACTACATATTATGCATGTGTAATCCACACCACACTCAGAGGTTTTCTTATTAAAAACAAATTTGTGCTTCCCGAACTCGCTTAGATTGTGGGATCAAGGTATCTGAAATATGGGGGGTATAAGATTAGATAGAATGGTATATACAAGATAGAGAATGAGGATAAATTGAATTTTACATAAACAGTTTAAAAATAAGGATGGATTAAACAGTACTGAAGATGGAAAATATCATTAAGAATAGCGATGGGTTGAATTGTGGATATGTGAAATGAGGAAGAATAATTGCAGATAGAATTACATTGAAAATTTGGAGAATAAGGCAGGGTAGGACTGTATGAGAGAGATCTTAGTACGTTCAGTGATGTGTGCTGTTATGGTTACCCATTTCTAAAAGTAGGAAGATGTTATGCTTATCTACAGTGGGTTCCCATAGGTCAACAACTGACCTTTCCCAGGATGCAGTCAATATCAGTTACCCAACTCTCTGGTACCTATTTGCTGCTAGGTGAACAAGCATCAGGTGTAAGGTCCCCCAGGACAATGACTGACCACCTCTGAATGCTATACACAACGGTTTAGTAATTCCTGAGTACCAATTTACTGCTAGAGTGGGCAGAGGCATCAGGTGTAAGAAAATGGGGCCAAATGTTTTATCCTGCATGGGAACTGAACCAAGAATCAATCTCTTGAGTAAACTGCGTTTATTGTTTTTCAATAACTGTTTTCATGGAGTAAACAATGGAAAAGATTTGCATGGCAATAGGAAATTGTTTACATTTTTGCTGTGTATCCAAATATTGGCCTTGTCTAGAAGTTATGATTATGCTGCCTTAAATTAAATATTTTTCTGATTTTAAAAATATGAAAATTTTTAATTTTTAAATGTGAAGTATGAATAATATCTGAGATTATCTGTTTTTCAGGGATTCTAATAAGCAGAATGCCAGTGAAGAGACAGAGGCAGCACCTTCAAAGAATAAGGAAGTAAGTCTTTAGTATTAACAAAACACTTGTCATTGTAGGTATAATGAAATCACATTGTATCTATAAGAGAATGTTATGAAAATAGGTGGATTTGAACTTGCATCTCTAGACTCTCCCCAAACACCCATTACTCACTTTTTTCATAATGGGGTTAAAAGCATCTTGATCAGATGGATTGTGGGTAGCAGGTGGTGCCTTTCAAATGCCAAGTAAGTCTAGTAAAACTTTTGGTACTTTAGTCACAATTTGGTACAGTGGGTAGTGTGTGTTTTTGGGAAGTCCGTACACACAAGTTCAAGCCCACCCATTGATGGTGACATAAGGTGGGGAACATCACTTCTCACACCCGAGTGTGGGCAGATGTCTCACAAAATTGGATTGTTGGTATGAGGTGGTCCTTTTTTAGCCTCAAGTAAATCTAGTAGAACTTATTTTTGTGATGCTTTATTTCATCATAGTACAGTACATTGGATAGTTAGTGTGTGTGTGTGTGTGTGTGTGTATGTGTGTGTGTGTGTGTGTGTATAATTACCTAAGTGTACAGTATATACAGGATGAGAGCTATGCTTGTGGTGTCTTGTCTTCCCAGCACTCTTTGTTATATAACGCTTTGAAACTACTGATGCTTTTTGCTCCACCACGTTCTCACTTAACAAATCCATAAGGGCCGTGATGAGGGTTCGAATCTACGTTTGGGATAATCTCAGACGTGCCTTAATCGATTGCGCCACGACATGGTTAAAAGACTTGCAACTGGGAGGACTACTACTCTCTCACGGATTCCCCTCAGCCTCTCCGAGAGACAAACTGGGGTTTTACTGTGTATACTCGCTTAACTTGTTCCAAACGTCTACTAATCTGTTTGCAAAAGAAAACGTTCCAATATTTTTTTTGGCATATTTGTTTCATTAACTTGAATCTATGACCTCTTGTTCCTGAGATTGGCAATTTCAGGAATTCCTCTTTATTATTTTGTAAGCTGTGATCATATCATCTCTATTTCTTCTATCTTCTAGGTTTGATACTGTATTTAACGCCACTAGTCTCTCCTCGTAACTCTTGGTTTTCAGGTTCGGAAGCCATTTTGTAGGATGCCTTTGCATCTTTCGCAATTTATTGATGTATTGCTTGAGATATAGGCACCATTCAACTGTTGCATATTCCAATTTTGGTCTCACACAAGTCATGAACAGTTTTTTTTAAGTATGTCACCATCCATGTAGTTAAAAGCAAGTCTGAGGTTGAAAGCGCACCATGTGCTTCTCAAACAATGTTCGTTATGTGTTCCCCTGGTGACAGTCTACTATCCAGAATCACCCCTAGATCTCTCTCTTTGTCAGATTTCTTTAATTCCTCTCTATATAATTTGTGGGCTGTGTGCTCTATTTTCTGCTATTCCACATTTCATAACATGGCACTTATTCACATTGAATTCTATTTGCCACATGTTTCTCCAAGCACTTACTGTATCTAGGTCAATGTGAAGGTCATGACAATCATCTACATCTCTCTTCTTCCCTAGTAGCTTAGCATCATCAGCAAACATATAAAAAAAACTTATTCGTATAATTCTGTATTTCTTCTGGTAGATCATTTATGTAAACGATGAACATTACTGGTGCAAGAACTGAACCCTGTGGTTCTCCACTAGTAACACTTCTCCAGTCAGATACATTGTCTCTGATACTGCTCTCATCTTTCTATCAGAACATTTTTCATCCATGTCGGCAAGGTTTCCCTGTCACCCATCCATCATGTTTGTATCCAAAACAACCTCTTGTGTGGGACTCTGTCAAAAGCTTTTTTTAGGTCCAGATACACACAGTCAACCCAACCATTTCCTTCCTGTAGAATCTCTGAGGCTCTATCATAAAAACTAAGTAGATTTGTTACACAGGATCTTCCTGTTTGAAAACCTGTCTATATGTTATTATGTCTTTACTCTCTAGGTGTTTTACTTATTTGGTTTGGACTATTTTTTCTAGTGTTGTGTGCTTGGTGACACCTTTGATAATTACTTACTTTTAGTGTTGTGATCAACACGCTTGTTAATGATACGGGTCTATAATTTAGAGGGTCTTCCCTGCTAGCATTTTTGTGGATTGGATCATGTTTGCCTTTTTACAACATCTGCTAAGCTTCCTATGGACAAAGCTGTCTCGAATATCAGTTGAAGGGGAATGCTTTGCACAGCTGCACATTCTCTCGGCACCCAAGGTGAAACTCCAACTGATCCATCAGCTTTATTTCTTCATAGCCCCTTGAGTAAATTTTCCAACAATGAACGATTAAATGGTAAATATTGAAAATAAATTGACAAAGATATTCCTGTGGGGCATCAGTACCATATTTCTACAAAAAAATGCAAAGTCTCTAGGCCAATACAGCTAAACCACAGCAGGTAGACACTTTTTACTTGGATTTTCATTCTTCTTGAATACTAATTAACAATATCGAAAAAAAAAAAATTCAGAACTTTTTTTTTTACCGCACCACTGGGTTGTTAACATTTAACAGGCGAGTAGTGCAGGGGTTAAGAAAACAAAATATTAAACTTGTTCAGTGTTTTTGTTTACATTTTCTGTGATAGAAACTCATATTATTGGGAGTAACTTATTACTATTGATATCTAAGGCTTCACTTTGCTCCTGTGGGCAAAACGTGCTCGATTAACGTTGTTTCATTGGTAAATGCATGTCATTTGTTAAAATTTATCCCAAGGTGTGGGGGAGTACAGTGCTGTACTTACTTCCATGGGGAACTTATTTTCACCATTGTTTATGCTTTGCAGAGTACTGTATTTCTCCATTGTTTACTCTTTAATAATTACAGCATTTCCCCAGTGTTTACTCTTGATAATTACTGTATTTCATCTTTGTTTACTCCTTTAAATTATTGTGTTTTTCATGTTTGTTTACTTTTGACAGTCTTTGGTTTTTAATCATAATTTAGATACATGTACAATGTGTGTGTGTTATAGCATTAAAGGTAATTGTAGCGTATTGTTATGTTTTCAAGTTTGTATTATGGTACCATACTTGGCTCTTTCATTTGTTTAAAGTAAATTATATTTTAACGAGTGTACTTATTTTTCAGTTATTCTTTTAACCAATACTTAAAACCATTTCAGAGAGAGAAAGATCCATGTGGTATATTCATCTTCTTCAAAAATATCATCACCACGAGCCCTGCTGCAAAGTTGTTGGTTGTTGGTAAAAGTGCTACGCAAATTAGATTTGGCAGGTAAGGAGGAATATTTTTTTTTTTTTTTTTTATATATATACAGATTTGGGGGATGTATTTGAGTGTGACTAGTGGCTGTATATTTTTGACCAGTTGTATAGTGGAATAGATATGAAATGAGGGATGTATTTGAGTGACTTGTGGCTGTATATATCAGACCCATTGTATTATTTGCCTGAAAGTTCCTCCAAATATCACATAGACAGTTACAGATCATAATTTAGTTCATCTTTACTTTTGACAAATGATGCTCACACTTTAAAACTGAAGATGTATGCGTGTAATTAGTGTAATTGCCTAAGTAGTTAGAGGATGAGAGCTATAAAATTGAGACCGCAGACAGCCCAGGTGAAAGGAATGAGAGCTATGCTTGTGGTGCCCCATCTTCCCAGTACTCATGTGATGCTTGGAAACTACTCTCAATATTGTATAGATGTATAAAATGTGTGTGTATTTTTGTCACATTTCTTTTATTGCTTGGTAGTAATTTAAACGAGTGGGTATTACATTGATAACTCGTCAACTGGAGAAATTGCTGTCCTGGAGAACATGTAAAGGTCTTTAACTGCTCTAATTCACTCAATAAAATATCTATAGTAAGTTATTGGGCTTGCTTAAATGCTTTAAACCTGTATTCTCTAGAACACAGGTGAGAGGGAAGCATAGTAATTTACACTTGGAAAATATTGGAAGGACTGGTTCCAAATCTACACATAGAAATAACTCCTCATGACACCAGGAGGTAAGGTAGGAATTGTAAAATAACTCGATTTAAAACCAGAGGTGCAAAGGTATGCTGAGACATGAACCTTAGTCTCTAGATAGCAGACAAATCTATAATTTTTAAGGGCCCAAAACTTTTCAACACACTCCCTCTACAAATAGAGGCATAACTAGCCAATGTCTCACAGTGTTCAAGAGAAAACTTGATTAACACCTCCAGAGGATACCTGATTAACCAGGCTGTGATTGGTACGTGAGGCTGCAAGCAGCTGCGTCCAACAATCTGGTTGACGAGACCAACCAGGGGGTCTGGTCAAAGGCCAGGCCAGGGAAACACAGACTCCCTGGAACCAACAACATGTAAGTATTTTAATTTAAGATTAAAACTTGTTTAAATTATTATTGATTACTTAATTTTTCTTCAGGATGTGTCATATGAATTTTGCAACAGAAGATGAAGCTGAAGAAATAAAAAAACAATTGATGGAAATGGAGTTTGATGGACTAAAGCCACATGTTGACTCTGCCTATAAGCATCGAAGCAGGTAGTGTACATATTTTGGTTAAGTTTTCCTTGGATGACCAGTCTAGACAAAAATTGTGTATTTTTTTTTTTGACTGGGATTTGTTGATAATATTTGTTCGTCTATCCTTCTGCTTATACCCGAGGTAACAATTTACATAAATGATTTTTTTTTATGGTCAACCTACAATTATTAGTGAGCTTTAATTGTAATTTTTTCTAATCCCTCCATATATATCTCTTAAGTATTTCTTAAATTGCTATAACCCTTAAATTTGGGGCACGTGAAGTTTTCCAAAGGCATACACGGACTGTTGCATACATAATATGTTTCACTAACAGACAGCAGTCAAGTTTTGAAGTGGTGGTATTCCTGCCTTCATCAGATGGCTTTGAAACTGTGTACTCTCACTTGAGCACACTAATTTGTGCTGAGCTTTTTCTAAGACGTTTGCTTACAAGTACCTATAATGGTGTTTTAATAAGAATACTGTACACCAAATACAGTATATGTAGGTATATATATTTTGTACACCTACGTACTAAATAGTTGCATTAAGTTGTGGCTGGACTAAATGTTTGTAGTAAGAGGATTAGGCAAATTGAGAAAGGGTGATGGCTTGTGAAGTACTGAAAATAGATGCATAAAACTAAAATATATAATGAAAGAATTATAATTTAGAATGTTAAATGGAGTGGGATAATTTTACAGTAGACTGGAATGTTTTGAATTGTAGGGGAAACAGTATTTTATACACAATGAAATCACAAAAATATATATACATATAAGTAATTACCTAAGTATAGTTACAGGATGAGAGCTACACTTGTGATGTCCCATCTTCCCAGCACTCTTATCTTATAATATTTTGAAACTATTGACAGTTTTGGCCTCCCATGTTTTCATTTAACATGTTCCAACTGTCTTCAACTCATTTGCAAAAGAAAACTTTTTAATATTTTTGGGCACCTTTGTTACCTTAGTGTGAATCTGTGACTCTTGTTGTTGAGGTTGTCAGTTTCAGGAATTCCTCTTTGTTAATTTAGTCGAGTCCTGTTATTATTTTGTAAGTGGTGATCATATCTCATCTTTTTGTTTTATCTTCTAACTGGGCATATTTAATGCCTCTAACCTCTCTTCATAACTCTTGCTGTTCAATTCTGGTGTGTGTATAAATACTGTATATTGTACCTAATAGGCCAGGTTTCCTAATAAGACGAATTTGCCTTAAATATTATGTTTTTTAAAGTTTTTCTTATGGAACTATAAAGCTTTCCATTACAATATATATGATTTGAATCTGTTTACTTTGAATCAAAACTAATATAGAAATTTGATCAAATGTAACCTAACCCAACTTAACATAAGTTAGTTATTCATGTTGCAAATATAATATATTAATATGGCTAGGAAAGATTTGAAAATATTGAAAATTGTTTTGACTGTTAGGCAAATTGGGCTATGCTGACTTGGCCAAGTAGGCAGTTCTAACTGTTTTATATATATTTATACAATTTATTTTTTATTTACAAGAAAATATTGGTGCCATTCATGGTTCAGTTGGTACTGCATGTGCCTCAGGAGTGTAGGGAAGCCAGTAGGATCCAGTTGTACAATGTCAATCTTTTGTGTTTTTTTTAACTAATATGCTTTTTTAATATTTTATTTGATCAGGGATAACAACAAACAGGAGAAACGTGTTGTGGATGAGGAGACGGATGGAACTCATGGCGTTAAACGTACCGTGGATGAGGAAACTGATGAACCTTCCACAGTGAAAAAGGTCTGTAATATATTGGTGTTGTAGATGAATTAGTTTTACACAATTCCAATTCAGTAGAAATGAACTTGCAGCTAAGAAAACACATTTGTATTTTTATTATTTAAAAATTGAAATGCTTAATTGGTAGATTCAAACTACTATAATAGTTAATAATTTACAGTAGTCAATGAGCTAGATGCCTTCAAACATGATTAATACATTCTCAGACTGATAATGAAAATGTCTACATACTATGCTGTTATTCCCTGGAAACACAAACCGAAATACTCTCTTTTCCACTTGTTACAACTTGTAATAAAGTTGTTACATCTTGGCTTAACGTGTTTATGACGTATTAGAACGTTGTCACAACTTGCTATATTGGTTGTTATAACTGGTTAGGAGGTGTTAAAACTTGTTCGAATGTTGTACCAACGTCGTAGTTTTGGTGTGTGTTTGGCGGGATTGTGACACACTTATATAATGTACCATAATTTCTATATAAATTTTCCCAATATAAATGTACAAGCATTTGTGAGTACAGCTTTTGATACAGACACAAGTCTGCACAATTATGAGACCTTGGTCAATCTGCCAACATATACAGTTTTAGCTTTCTTATTTTGGACATTTTTTCTTAATACTGGGTCTATTTTCTATTTACTACTGGCTCTTGTGTTATTGTCTCGCAACAAGACGATCATAACCCCAAGCACGCACCTGTTTACATATGTATTCGTTTAGAGTGGTTGATGGATGATAGTACTGTATTTAGAAGGGAAGGCAATACTGTAAGTGTTAAAACCATTGTAAGCCTCAAAATGTCATATGACAGCAATTCTAGAGAAGAATAGTCTCAATACACACAGACACACACATTACCTAGTATGGTAGGCAAAATGCTTGAAACAATAGTTGAAGCCAATTGGGTTGAACACCTGAAGAGTAATGACATAATAACGGACAAACAGTAGAGTTTTTGAACAGGAAGATCCAGTGTAACAACTCTTACTAAGTTTTTATGATAGATCCACAGAGATAATACAGGAAAGAAGTGGTTGGGTTGACTGTATCTCTCTGGACCTAAAAAAAAAGGCTTTTGACAATCCCCACACAAGAGGCTGTTATGGAAACTGGAACATGCTGGAGGGGTGATAAGAAGATTTCTGACTTGGATGAAAAATTTTCTAACTGGCAGAAAGTTAGAAAATGGAATACAGATGAGGGCAGTAATCAGAGACAATGTATCTGACTGGAGGAGTGTTACTAGTGGAGTACCACAGGGATCCAGTTCTTGCACCAGTAATGTTCATCGTCTACATAAACGATTTTCCAGAAGGAATACAATATCATCAAGGAATACAATGGTCACAAGCTGAACAGCAGTGCTGTGAGCTCATGCTACATGCATCAGGCTTGGTGGCTCACTCAGTACCGAGGCCCTCACACAAGGGAATTTGGCCCACGATTTAAAAAAAAAATGGTGTCTGTTTATAAGAGCCCTGATGAAGGCAAGATGAACCCCATATATCCACAGGCCATTTAAATCTTGCGTAGTACTCCAATAGATCATATGATGGGATGCGCATTTTAGAGCAAGTCACTCAACCCATCATATGATGTGTTGCGCAACTTAAGGGTTAAAATACAGTAATGTAGTTGAGCTTGGAAACATTTTGACATTAACTTGACCTGAACATTTATAAAAACAAAAAATATGTCCTTAACAATTGCACTATGAAGTTCTTGCCAAAAACAGGTGTGCAGTGCAGGGGTCAAGACAATAAGACTTAAATGTTGAAAGACTTAGTACAATGGGTTCAATTTACCTTGATATATCTGTAAAATAGAAATGGGGTTAAGGGGACCAATTAAAGATATTTTAACATGGATACAGATGACTAAGGGAAGCTGTTGATTAGGAAAGGAAATGTTATTGAAAATATGAAAGGATAATAGCCCAACCCACACGTGAAAGTGACACTATATCTGTCCTTCCTGGATACAATAAGCGTCCCAGACTGACTGAAACGTTATCACATTTAATTTCATGCATGTTTTGGGTATTTCAGACATGTTATTGCTACTTATTCTCTGCAGAAAATGATTGTGTTTGATTTAGTCTTGTAAGTGATAAAACATTCACAATTGGAATAAGTTGAATGAATAATATACGATGACACTTGTAACATTTTTGTGTTTTTTTGTTTACAGACAAAGGCAGATGAAAGGAGTGATAATGAAGATGTAAAGGAAGACATAGAAGACAATGAAGAAACTAACAATGTTGCTGTTAGTGAATAAGAGTAGGTTGCTGAACTATAAGAATGACTAATTTCATAAATTTACAAACTTTTTTTTATTATAGATAATGTATTCTAACAAATTTTGTACTCAGTCATTTTGTGCCTAATAGTCATTCTGGGTTGATAAGGAACTTAGAATTTGTTTGAATATATAGGCATAAAGGAGTCAATGTTGGCAAACAATTTTATTTTTCCACTCCATATCGTCTTAAGTTGAGTAGTGAAAGTGCGAGTATGTTATAGTACCCATAATTAGGCAGTTGCGTTTAGACAGAAGTATGCCCTTGTCTGCCGAAGCTAAAGTGTAATGTTTCTGCGACAGTACAAGGTAATGTTAAATTTTCACATACAAGTTAAAAACCAAACCTACCAAGTGGATATTGCAAGATATGTTGGCTGCATGCTTATCAGCTGTTTTAATCTTGATCTCAATTTTAGTGACTTGATACAAAAGCCTCTCTTTTTCTATTTTTTTTATTATCACTTGGTGTAATTCATGTCATAGTTTGGCAAATAATATCAGACTCGTGTCACAGTTTGGCAAACAGTATCTAACTTTTGTCATAATTTGGTAAGTAATATCAAATTTGTGTCATAGTTTGGTAAGTAATGCCAAATGTGTCATAGTTTGATAAATAATATCAAATTTGGGTCATAGTTTGGTAAACAATATCAAACTTATGGCCTTTCCATGCATCCTTTCATAGCTTATTTTGTTATTGTTTTGGATGTAAAGAGTACCCAGATCTGAACAAAGAATCCCAAGCATCAGACACCAATGATATTGGCACAATGCATTGTATGTTGACTGATTAAACTTGGAAATTGTTAGCTATACAATAACAGTGTTTACCCTCAGAAACTAGACCTTGGTGGTTAGATGCATTATTTATAAACAAAATGCCCTCTAGGGCATTGTTTTCAAGTAAAAATCCCTCTTAGATATAAGACTACTTGGCTGGATCACACAGGAAATACATTCAGAAATGCAGTATTTCAAATTGCCACACACCAGAAAGCTAGTGTATGTTTATTCTTGTAACCAACCGATGTATTAATACTGTACTTAGCTGTTAAATTGATATCTTGAATTATTATGATTTTAAATGTCACAGTTCACAGAGAACACAAAAACTGCTTTATAACTTTATTTCTCTATTATGACTACATGATTTGTTTTGACGTCAAATAATTTGTTGCATCGCCTGCCGTGGTCACGCGTGACTCGGGATACGTCTCTCTGCACATGCACAATAAAGGAGTGTGTTTAGTAGACCAAATTACTCATTTATGACTTTACAGTTACTTACATTTTAACTACCATTCATTAAAAAATAAACAAAAGTATTTAAATGCTTTTCCTATGAAATTTTCATTATTCCTCTATTGTTATATTTCAGGTCATATATTTCACTTGCTATTGGTCAGTCAAGTCATTAAATCTGTAGGCACAATGGCAAAATATAATTTACAGTTTTTTAAATACATATTTATTTTCTCTGCCTCTTGTGTCGTTTGACTTTTCTTATTGTACATGTGTGGCGGGGGTTGGTTAGGTGTAGTTCCATGGTTAGAGGTCTATCATCCCCCGTATTCATTAATATGTCATAAACATTTGTAAAGTTTCCAGTGGTTTTGGTAAATACTTCCTCCTCTTAAGCCTAGTCACTCTTATCTGCAAATTGATTTGAGAAGACGTAATTCCTATTGTCTTATTTACAATTTTTTATGGAAATTTTAAATTGATTTATTCTACATATCAATTGTATCAAAACATCTTTTTATTTTTGTTAATCTTTGTGGTTATACAGGTATTTCATTTTTGCAGAAGAGGAGTCACAGTAACGTGGCTGAAATATGTTGACCAAACCACACACTAGAAAGTGTAGGGACGACGACGTTGCGATCCGTCCCGGACCATTCACAATCGACTTGAGAATGATCCAGGACAGACCAAAGTGTCGTCGTCCCTTCACTTTCTAATGTGTGGTTTGGTCAACACTTCATTTTTCCCTCTGGCATCCAGAGTTATTATTTAAGAGTGTCTTTAGTCCTTTGTTGTAGTTCAGACATCATTCTGGAATCATTATATTGCTTTCAATAGTGTCTATTTTATCAGTGTTGCTATAGCTGTTGACACCATATAGAGCCGCATATTCCAAATTTGGGTTTAGTATGTTGTTAATGCATATTTTTTGTATAATTTCCCCATTCAAACACACACAAGCTTTCTTAATGTTATACTATACATGACAACATCACATAGGATTCTCTTAAATGAGTTTGCAAGAGTTTCTTATGATTGTTCAGTTATAACAACCCCATCACTTTTTTGTTTTGTATTTGGCTGTTGTTTCATTTGATCTATTTTTGCAGTCCAAGTTTCAATGCATGCCATCTATCTATTACATAACATTCCATTATTCATTTTTCGTTACTTCATGTGGTCAATTTAAGTAAGCCTTCCTGAAGGGCTTAATCTTTTCATGTTCTTCCTTGCAGTAAATTTTGTATCTTGTGCACTTTTGGAAATCTTTTTTTTTTTTTTTTTTTTTTTGTTGTTCTTACATGAGGTAATCAAGTTGTTTAGTGGGAGGAAGCATGACTAGAGCATAACCTTGTACCTATTGTACCTGGTGTTTTTATATCCGGTACCCTGTGACATTGCAACATTTTCATGTGTTCTCTTGGTGTGAATGGTGGTTACTCCCACCACCTCTGGCTCGTAATTATTACCCTTGGTCGCCACTCACAATGCATACAAGTGCTTTCATGTATTTCTCTGGCTCGTCTGTTTTTTTTAAATATCTAAATGTGCCACCTTATTCTCTTGCCCCTTATCTGGCACATTATTTCTCATTGACTTTCCCTCCCTTACTGGCCCATTGGCGTCGTGAGGGGGCTTGGTGGGCAGCTGCCGGAGTGTAATGCTCCATGGGTCAGTCCTTTGTCCTTTTGAAGCCTTATGCTCCTACTGCTGTCTTTACCAATTTTGCCAGAACTCTTTTTTTTTTTTTTTTTCCTTTTCCTTGTGTTTCATTTTTTCTTCCCCCCTCTTCCCCTTTCTAATCGTCATTTCCTGTCGATCTTTTAATTTTTTCTTCCCCTTTCTAATTGTCATTTCCTGTCGATCTTTTGCCAGTCTTGATTATTCTTTCGGACTTCTTCTGTTTTGATGCCCGGGTGTTTGGGGAGGAATACTCCCTCATCTGTAGAACTGTCATACCCAACGTCTCGAGTGAGGGAACCTTTTTATTGTCAAGCCTCCTTTCGTCGCTGAACCTGATCTTGACGGACTGACGGTTCTTAAGGTGGCGTTGGTGGGGCGTATACTCACGACGCACCCCTGGGGGGCCCCCGGCAAAACCGGCAACATGTCTCTTGTTGGGTGTCCTATCCTCTAATTGTGGCTCCGTGGTGGGTACAGGGGTACATTTGTGAATGAAAGTATTACCTCTCATTTTCATGTCGCTGAATATTGTTGTTCTTATGACTTCTCAGGCTCGTGGGGTGGGCGACCAAGCCCCCGAGTGTGACTGTTGGAAGACCAGACTCTGTAGCCCCCGCTACATTGAGCCCAGACCTAGCTCCTCCTTTGACCCTCCTGACTGCTCCCCCCGGCTCCCCTCCCGCCTCTGTGGTTGGGTCGAGCCATACGCCAGCGGTGACACCTCGTCCCCTGGTGCGGCTCAGTCTCTCATTGTGATTATTGCACCTTTTAACCCCTCTCTCTCTCTCTCTCTCTCTCTCTCTCTCTCTCTCTGGGGGTTCTCAATGCTGTTCCCGCCATGGCCGCACTTGCACGAATCCATTCCCATATTAATACGTACCAAGTCTTGTTTGGTCCTGCTTCATGGGCTAAATACTTTGGTCTCCTCTCCCTGGATTCTACACCACCTAATGATTTCTCACTCCATAAACACCTTGTTGATTCGGTGGATGCCTCTTGTTACTTTTAACCCCATCCATTTAGCTACATGTATTGTCGCTGCTCCTTCACCGGATGCAGCTACCCTCTAAGCAGCATTGTCCTGCATTGGGGAGACCCCTGTTCGTGTCTCCAAAAACGCTCTGTTAAATGTCAGTCTTGGCACTGTTCTCCTTCTGTACCATGTTGCAACTGGTGTGGGAGACTGCCATGAGGATATTAAACATATCCTCGAAGCCCAAGGCCATCCTGTTCTCCAGGTGGACACGTTCACTCGACCCCTGTATGGTCACCGTCTTCAGCCCCTTTGAGTTGTGAAAATTACCTTCGATAGTAGGTCCCTTCCGCCCTCTAGCATTCTTGCTGGTGCCAGGTGCTTCGTTCAGGAGTACATCCCCTCTCCTAGACTTTGTAATAAGTGCTGGAAGTTTGGGCACGGTGCCCTCAAATGCAAAAGTCTTGTTTCTTTATGACCCATGTGTGAGGACGATAACTACTCTTAAGACAGATTGCTCATCTCTTCAGGCTCACTGCCTCAATTGCGGCGAGGCCCACCCTACCTTCTCCCACAAGTGTATCCACTACAAACTTGAGGAGGCAGTCGTTAACTTGAAACACCGGGATCGTCTAACTTTTCCTGAAGCGAGACGCCAAGTTCGCCGTCTCCACCCTTTCACTGATGTATCTTATGGTCACGTGTTGCGTTCTACCTCTCTTCGTCCTTCCTACCTTCCTCAGTCCTGCAACTGTTTCCAGGCCTTGAACCCGGACACGCCCACCACCACCTTCCCTGTTCCTTTACGTTCTGTCCTGGAAGGTCTCCCTCCTGATTCTCCTTATGGAGTTTCCCCTTTCTTACCTATCCACCATGTCTCCTGTGTCTTCTCTTCCTTCTCCCCCCGATCCTTCTTCCCGATCCTCCCCACAATCTCTTGGCCCTCCACGCCGCCTGTCTGTCCAGACTGATGTCCATCATCCTCCCAGCAATCTTGATGTTGTTCACTCCCGTTCTTCTCCTGCCGAGACCATTGAATCTGTCGCCCAGTACGTTATTGCTGGTACACCTGTCTCTTTGAGTCAGAAACGTAAGCCTGGCTCCTCTCCCTCTTAACCAGCAGGTAAGAAGGCATCAGTTTCTTCCCTGGCCCCCAACTCTATCGCTACGTCCTCTCCCATTTCGGTGGTCAGGCCCCCTGTTCCAGTTATGGAGGTGTAACTCCCTCGATTCCCTCTCGGTTACTGCCCTTGCTGAGGTGTGCTTCCCGGTTTCTGCCCCCCCAACCTCCTCCTGCTGTCCCTCACAGCCCCTCTCGGTTGTCTTCCCCCCTCCTCCGGACCCCGTCTGTCTATCTCTAGTCTGTCCTCCCGCTTCCTTCCCTCCATCCTTACTAAGTTTACCCATGCCCCCAACCCTGATTTTACTGATCCTGAACTTCTTTAATATACTGTGTTCTTCTTTACCTTTGTTTCTTCATTGTTCTCTCTTACTTATCTTCCTTATAACGATCCCTTCTCTCTCGCTGAACTTCAGTCTGCCCTGGCCCTCTGCGGTTCTACGGCAGCGGGCTCAGATGACATTCATTGAGAGATGCTTCGCCATCTCCCTCCTTGCACGTCTCAATATTTACTGCGTCTGTATAACCAGGTCTGGGAGTCCTCGTCAGTCCCTGAGGACTGGCTTGGTGCCATTGTCCTTCCTATTCTGAAACCGGGGTCTCTCAGGACATCCCCTAAGGACTTCCACCCTATTGCCCTCACAAGTTGTGTCTGCAAACTCTTTTGAGCGTATGGTAAATGTTTGTCTCAATTTGGTTTTTGCAAGTGCCGTAGTACGACATGTCCTGGTGAACTTGGAGGTCTATATTCGTACTGCTTTTGCTGCGAAGACCTCTGTTGTTGCTGCTGTCCTTTTTGGCCTGGAAAAAGCTTATGACACAACCTGGAGATACCATATTATGTCCCAACTTCGTTCTTTTGGCCATCGTGGTAATCTCCTTCTCTTCCTCCAAAGCTTCCTTTCTCGTCGTTCCTTTCGAGTCAGGCTTGGTGCCCCACACTCTGCCTCTTTTTGGCAATACAAAGGTGTACCCCAAGGTAGTGTTTTGAGCAGCACTCTTTTTACTAGTTGCCCTCAATGGTCCTCTTTCGTCCCTTTCTTCTGGCATCTTCTCCGCTCTTTATGTCGACGATCTTACTCTTTGCTGTCAAGGTGATGATTCGCCTCTCCTTTAACGGCGGCTTCAACTTGCGATTGATGCCGTGTCGTCTTGGGCCACCAATCATGGCTTCAAGTTCTCTGCAACTAAGACTTGACATGACTTTTACTCAAAAGCATGTCGTCCTTCGTCCTTCTTTGTCGCTTTTCTGGTTACTCTTTGACACTCATTTATCTTGGTCGCCCCATATCTCTTACCACTGTTTTGAATGCTCTATGGTCCTGTCACATACTTCTTGGGGAGCAGATAGGTGCACGCTCCTCTCTTTGCGTTCCTCTCTCATACTGTCTAAACTCGATTATCGTTGCCCTACTAATTCTTCTGCTTCTCCTTCTATTCTTCGCTGTCTTGATCCTTTGCACCATACTGGGTTGTGCCTCAGCTCTGGTGTGTTTTTCGTTCGACTCCTATCCTCAGCTTAAACGTTGACACTGGCTTCCTGTCTCTCCTGGACCTCCAAGATCGCTACTGTCTTTGCTATCTTGCGCGGTCTTTACAGCACCCTCGCTCTCGTCTGTGTCGTGCTTTGACTTCCCCCTTCCCCTGTAGTTCCTGTTCCCCTTCACCACCTCCCTCTTTTTGTCTGGTTGTCTCGCCTGCAACATTCTCTTTCGGTTAATATCTCGTGTTGTTCTGTCCTTGCCCCCGTGGAGGGTCCCCCTTCCTCAATATTGCAAATCCCTAAAGCTTTTGCCCCTCCAATAGCTCTGAAACGATTTTTCCTTGAACACTTTTCTTCACATTCCCGCTCAGTTTCCATCTTCACTGACGGGTCTAAGTCTGCAGATAGTGTAGGCTACTCTGTTGTTTTTCCTGACCACACCTATATGTGTCGCCTGCCTTCGGAAACTAGCATTTTCACGGCAGAACTTTATGCTTTTCTCTATGCTCTTCATCTGCTTTCTCACTGTCAATCCTTCTTTGTGGTTGTAGTTGACTCTCCCAGTGCCCTCGTGGCTCAAGAGTCCTTTAATCCTGTCCATCCGGTGGTTGTAAAGATTCAACATTGGCTGTTTTATATCTCCAGTTGATTTAAGACAGTTGAGTTTTGCTGGGTTCCCAGCCATATTGGTATCTCTTTTAAATAAGCGTGTGGATGCTGCCGCTAAGGAAGCTGTCCGCACTTGTCCCATCTCCTGTAAAGGTATTCCTTATTCTGACTTTTACCCAGTTATTCAGTCCTTCATCCTTGCCCGTTGGCAGGATTGTTGGTCTTCTGAACAAATCCACAAGGGCTGTGACGAGGGTTCGAACCTACGTCTGAGAGGATCCCAAACGCTGCCTTAATCGGCTGAGCTACGACATGGTTAAAAGATTGCAACCGGGAAATCATCCTGATTTACCAACAGATCCTGCAGTCTCTCCGAGACACAAACCAGGGTTTTACGCAATTTCCCCATGCACTCGAGCTATATCAATAGACTGTTTTACCTCTTCGCCCTTACTTCATTGCACACAGCGTCTGGGATCCTCTCGGACTTAGGTTCGAACCCTTGTCATGGCTCTTGTGGATTTGTTCATTTGATGCATCACGCTATTGTGATCTCTGTGTGTGTTGGTTTTCTGTTACTGGTAACAAACTGCATACTCTTAAGGGTAGTATGTCCCTGTGGCCTTCCTCCTACCACTGTAACCAGCGATGGGAAACAGCTCTTGCTGGCAAGGCTGTGCATTAGCCATACACGCTTAACTCACGGACACTTAATGGAGCGTCGCCCAGCTCCTTATTGTCCTGACTGCATTGTCCCTCTTACAGTTGTGCATAGCCTTGTCGAATGTCCTGACTTCCAGGACGAACATGTCTTGATTTCCGACCGTCCCCCGCGGTCACTTTTCCCTCGATAGAATTCTTGGTGAATCGGATACTTTTGATATCATTCGCCTTATGCGTTTCTGTTCTCTTATTGGCATCCTCAGTGATATTTAACGCCCTCTGATTATTCCGCACATTTGATGGTGCTACATAGCCTTCCCGTCTTGGTGCCTTCTTTGATAATTACTTACTTTCTCATTGACTGTGTATATTGTGATCCTCTCTTCCAGTTTGGTTAGATTTAGCTCCCTTACCCTATCCTCATATTTCACCTCTTTATCTATAGTACTTGTCTTGGTATATCTGTAAACCTCTTTTATTTTGTTGTATCTGTCAAAACTATGATTTTATATGGAATTATCAGTAGAAAAATAAGTGTTATTTTTACTAAAAGAAATATTAATCAAAATGCATTGAGCAAAGTGCTTAAATGGAAAGCTGCGCTATCTTGCAAGTGATCTCGCAGCTCATATGGTAAACAATAATAACCTGCTTATTGCCATGCCTATTACAGTGTATCCTTTTACAAAAATATTATTTCAGACATCATCTACATTGACTTCAGGATTTACTACAGGAGAGGCTAGTACTCAGTTTTATCCTTCAAGTTTTAATAGTTTGCCAATGTTGATCGACACGGTAATGCGATTATTATCATAGGTTGTTTTTAGCTATTTCCACCAGGTTTTTATACAAATGTAAATGGTTTACATGTAATATGAGTAATATTACATTGTCGGCCTGTATATAGTACTCACGTGTTTTGTATCACTTGTGTATAAATTGAGTTGTTCCACACATTGTGTAAACTAAGTGAAACAGCAAGCATATAAACCCCATAACGAAAATTGTCAGGCATCATAACCAATATAGTATTTCTGCAGGACTATTATATAGTAAGGAACGAGCTGGAAGGGAGAGGAGTAGGAGTGGCCCTGCTAAGGAAGGACTGGAGTTTTGAAGAGATGGATACGCCAGGATGGGAAAGATTCAGAGACTACATAACAGGAACTATGACAAAGGGAGGACCTAAGATGATAGCAGTAATTTATAGCCCTCCATTAGGTGGTAGAAGACCCAGAAAGGAGTTTGATAGAAACATGGCAACCATTAATATAATAGAGAGCAGCTTCAATTGCCTGCATGAAAAAAATCCAGACTTTTAATCACAGGCGACTTCAACCATGGGAAGGCAGACTGGGAGAATGGAGAACCACATAGAGATTCAGATACGTACATGGAGAGCTAAACTAGTGGATGTGGCAACAAGATACTTTATAAGACAACATGTCAAGGGACCCACAAGAATCAACGATGAACCAACTAGACTAGACCTGATATTCACCCTGAATGAGTCAGATGGTGGAAATGAAATTAGAAGCCACATGGGAATAAGTGACCACAGCATACTATCTGGTGGGAGTAGGGATAGCTGATCTAAGGAAATGATTAGAAAAGAAAAGGCTGGCTTACCAAAGAGAAAACTATGAGGAGGAAATTCTTAATGGAAATACAGTACCATGGGAAACAGAATTCAGAGAAAAGACTACAAGATGTGATGGATTACATTACCCAGAAATGCCAGGAAGCTGCAGACAAATTTATCTCAGACCTAAAGGAGAATTGATTGATTGATTGCATCCATGGCTCAATCAGGAATGTAAGGAAGCAAAGTGATTAAGTACTAGAACATGGAGAAACTATAGAAAACAACACCATAGAGCAGAGGGAGATACTAGAAGGCCAGGAATGAGTACCTCAGTATGAGGAGAAAAGCAGACAGTATGAAAATGACATTGTAAAATATAGCAAAGACATGACTAAAACTGCTCCACGGCCACAGCCAGCCACACAAAACAGCGAAGGAACAAATAATGAAACTGAGAAAGGGGGAGAAAACATATATAGAGAATGACATGGTATGTGAAGCACTTGACATGGAGGTGACTCGACCACTTGACACTTCCAGGAGGTGACTCGACCACTTGACACTTCCAGGAGGTGACTCGACCTCAAAACTGTGAGCGAGGTTCGAAGCAACCTGTAAGTCTTGTTCAGGCCCTCGTTTAATTATATACAGATCTAAGCTGTTTGCCATGGCTTAATTGTGCTTAGAACATTCATATCAAATATTTCTTTTATAAAGATTAAATAATACTTTTAATGCACAGTGGAGATATTTAATGTCATGGTAACATTAAACCCAAGCAGAAAAATTGACGTTGATGTGTAATCTGCATCATGATGCAGTCTTGTGATGCCTGCATTGTGATACAGGCATAAGGCTTCTGCATCATAATGTTTTTGCATCATCAGCTTATGACATCACTAATCATGCAAACATAAGCATTGCAAATAATATGAACAATTTTCAGAATATAAAATTATAAATAAAAAATTTTGCTTTTCCGGTAATGTAATATGTAACCTTATTTCATTGGAAATACAGTACCTGTAACTTATTTCTAGATTTGAGTTTTCAGGTATGTTATATGTAGTATGTTAAACAATGACTACACATGAGTTCAAAATATAATTTAAGTACAAATGAATCCATTTTCATAGGCTACTTTATGACTGCTGAATGTAAGTCACAGTAATATGAATAAAAATTGAACACCAAACCCTCACATTAAAAGAAAAAATCTAGAATAAACTGAAACATTGCCAGTCCTTGTTTTTCATGTGTGTATTGGGTGTCTAATACTTGTTTATTTTATTATTATATCTACAAAATATATCTTCACTTACCATTCTAATGCATATAAATTTCTAATGCAATGCTACATTTGCACTAATTATCAAAAGAAGGCACCAAGCTGGGAAGACTATTTACACATATCCACTAAATTACCTCTTAATACATGTAAGCTTACACTGGAAGCATGTAGTTGCTTCAATGAGGGTAGTCTACCAAATTCTTAGCACAAAATATAAAATGCATTAATGATAACTTGTAGATAAATAATTTGTGTTGATGATAGGAAGTCTGTTGGCTTGATAAGTCTCAACTTAGGCTTATCAAGGTCTCCTTATGCCAACCATATTTTTGGAACTTAATCATTCAAGGTATGAAAAGAAAGTTCTGGCTCTGGGGAGATGTGTTGTACACAACTTGCAGGTGATGAAGAAATGACAACAATTTGATCCACACAGAAATCACAACATGATAAATATCAATCACGAAATAACGTGATAGTGGATTTTCTCATTGATATCCAAGACTATAGGAGGACATGAACCTACGACCCTGGCATTGTCAAGGGTCATAGGATTTTTTCATTGATGTATATCACATTAATGTGATTTTTTCATTTTGATCTGTCCTGGACCACAATCAAGTTGTAAATGACTTGTACACAACTTTCTAAGATTGCTAAAAAGCTTTTAATGTGTAAGATTGAGAAAACAGGATAGACACTACTAGGTGAGGGAGTACCTGAAAGATAGGAAAAACAGGGTCATAGAGAGGATGTCAGGCTGGAAAGTGCAGTATGTCAAATCTCTGTCATAGGACTTGATTTCCAATTTATGTTAACGACATACTGGGAGGAGTGAGCTCGTATATGTCAGTGTTTGCAGATGATGCAAAGTTAGCGAGACTAAGACCTGAGAAGGACTGCAGAATGCTGTAGGAAGACTTCAACAAACTTCAGGAATGGGAAGATAAATAGCTGCTGAAATTCAACCCAAACAAGTACTGTATGAGGTAACAAAGATTGAAAGGGTGGTAGCAAAGCACACCATATAGGAAATGCAACTATACGAAGCAATAAGACAGAAGACCTAAGAGTGGATATAATTCTCAGCACTAACACCAGAAACTCGTCTGAAGAAGATAGCGTCAGCAGCACTTGGGAAGTTGGCAAACACAAGAACAGCATTTTAATATATAAATATAGAAGCATTCAAGTCCATATGTACTGCCTATGGGAGATCATTAGTTAAAATATGCAGCATTGGGATGTGAAGTACAAAAAGCAACTTAAGAAGGTTCAGGTTTGCTACTAGACTGGTACTTGAAATGAGAAAGGTCAGCTATGAGGGCAGGATAATGGAACTCAAATTCACAACCTTAGAGAAAATAAGGTAACTGTACACAAGATAGTTAGGAAAAACAAAGTGGACAAGGACTGCCCAAGTTGACAAAAGGTAGGGGGTGAGGACTTCGGTCAAACTTGAACACAATATTGACTGTAATAGATGCAATGATAATTTGTAAACTGTATGAGTGATGAGCAAGTGGAATACATTGAAGAACTTGTAGAAGTCACTTCCATCCACAACTTCAAAAACAACATGACGCTTTGAATGTCAAGAGGTACTAGTTGTGCCAGGAGGCAGAGCATACACAGCTAGATCTCACTTCCACATAATCACCAATACATAAAGCACTTAATAAAGTCTGTGCATACATGTAAATACCATACAGTAGTCTTTATATTTAATTGAAGTTTGTGATAACTACCGGTAAAACTGCTTAGTAGAGTACATATTTTCATATATTTTTAAGAGTTCATATTGAGTTTATATAGTTATAGCATTACTTTCCACACTACTTAAATTTGGTTTACCTTATGGCTTCCTGTCCCCGTAGTTGGGGGACAGGAAGTCACTGAGCTTGTCGAGCCCACCTTATAGGCCAACTACTGGGTATCTATTTACTGCTAGACAAACAGTCAGGTCAAAAGAAACATGCCCACTTACAACTTGAGCCCATTGTTGGGCTTACAACCAACAATGATTTGTTGGCTGTAAGCCCAGGATGTAGACTACTGTGCTACAGGCACCTGTGTATAAAATTTGTTACAACACTGATAAAGTCCATTCACAACCATTTTCCTTGTCTTTGTCCACCTGTATACTTTGTGACCTGTTGTGTACCTTTCATGACTGTTTACAGCAGTGTATGTTTCCTTTTAGTCTATCCTCATTGTTTATATTCGTTGTATCATGTATGTGTGTTCGTGTAAAAATAATTTAAAGAACGATTTTTGTTATAATCATACCAGTTTATATTGGGGTGTTGTTGTGTTGATTTAGGGCAGACAACGATCGTGGGATCGGATGCGCCCATATTGGGGTGTACATTGACAAATTCCAGTAGTTCAGTACATTGACAAATACTGTACAGTAGTTGTTTAATATATTACAATTTAAATAAGTGAAATGAGATGTTTAGCTAACTGAACACTGAGTATATACAGTACGTCTATACTTACAGAGCTAGTAGGTAAACAAAATTGATGCAATAAAAGTAATTTGTCATATAGGGCATTTATATAGACTAAGTGGTATACCCAAACACAAAGTGATTCGATACACTGAGCAGTACACCACAGAGGCTACAATAGTTCAAATGCAGAACAAGCTTTGTAACAAGCTTTCTAGTCCTGTCATTATTATAATTTATTATCAAATAATGAGAATACAAAAGTTAATAAATATAATCACAAAGTGCAATTACCTGTTTAAATAGTGTTATTGCACTGTACATTATTAAATACAATAAATTCCATTTTAAGTGATTTTATTCCTGACAAACCAGCTATAAGAGAATAAAAATATAGCTGTAATAAAAACCAGCTTTTTATTCCAGCTATAAGAACTAAAGTTATAGTAACAAAATATAAATATATATTACGTAGTGCTGGCTATTTTCCGAATGATTATGCCCTCGCATCATTATACCTGGTGCGTGTAAGACGAGTTTAGGGACGTGGGTTCCATCCTATCGTACGGCTTCAGTATTTTATCGTGCTCTCCTCACATTTTAATTTGTTATATTCACTTATAATTTTTCATGCTAATTTTTTATTCATTAGCTCTTAAATTTTTAATTTTGTTCCGGGTCCTTTCCACAATTGTTCACTAATAATGTCCAGGTTAGTACCTATGGTAACACTAGTTTTGTTGACCGGTGTTGCTGCTTCATTCTTCTTGGTTTGTGTGTGCCACACCCATATCTGTGAAGCACAAATGTGTCAATTTATATAAGTGAAATGAAACATGTATGCGCATATATACATTATACTGTATACAAAAGAAGATACAATATAGTAGATGAGTTTGAGACATGTGCATATTTCTGTTTTGTCAATTTGTCAGTAATTACTGAATGCATCCTATTCTCTATTTCAGACAGTGATGCATATGTGATCTGTTGAATTTAATAGTTTCTTCATCCATGTGCATCCTTTCCTTAGAGGTGTGGACGAGTGGAATGGCCTGCCAATAAGTGTTATTGAGATAAACAATCTAACAATTTAAGAATAGAATGGATAGTTATACTGCATAGATATCAGATGCAGTGGATTTTAATGGGACCCACCTAGTACTGTATTGACAATGGGCCTGTTTGCAATGCTCCTTAGTTCTTATAGTATTATATAGCCTAATAATTTTCTTTTAATCACCTCACTACTTCCTTGCAGACTGTTCTCTAACCAGGTCTCCTATTTGACAATGTGATCAGCCAGACTGATGGTACTGTACTCTTACCTCATGGTCTGACATGGGAAACAGTAATCTCACGTGGAAAAGTAAATTGGTACATAATTATGAGTATGAATGATTTAGCAATAACTTCACCAAACAAAAGAAATTGTATTGTGCATGATGAATATATTATCTAAGAATATAATGAATGTGTTTCGAAGGTGTGGAAATACATTAAAGCATAAAGCGATCAAAGATTACCACAAAGGAATATGGACTTGAATCATGATACATTACCCCTGGCATCTCTTAACAATTTTAGAAACATTTATGTACCGTATTGTACCGGAGAAATATTATAAATAATATTTTCTGGCAGACCTTGTGGTTAGAACACTCCTTGAACACAAATGAGCATTGTTCCTTTACTCTGTTCAATCCTGTTCACCCAGTAGGAATTGGGGGGCCTATATGTAAAATTATTGCCAAATTATGTTCTAGAGAAAACATGGCACAGTATAGCCTAAACTATTTAAAGTACCTGGCCCATGGCATAAATTCTAACATAAAAATCAAAGTACAGTAATATTACATCTGGGAGTCCGCTCCCATGGCAACACCCATGAAATTGAGGATGAAATGGTGGCTACTGTGTCCATAGAATTCCATCTCTGTTCACAGTATTACAGAATGCAGACTGCCTATCACATGCCTCTGTATGACTAACCATTCTGTGTGATGGGGATTTTTTAGCATCACCTAGTTAGCTTTTTTTGACACTGTACTCCACTTCATATAGTCTAGGGTAGCTGCACTAATGCAGATGTACCTCATGTATTAATACAAAAAAATACAGAATTCAGATACTGACATGCAAAATACATGTTCTGATGGCAATTAAGCATTCTGGAGGGGGGGGGGGGTTCCTAATACAGTACTTAAATGGAGCAACATATTAGGGTCCACCTGGGCACAGCTGGGTACCTTATCTAGTGGTTAATAAAAAAAACTTACCTTTGTGCAATTAAATGCAAGTGGCTCTATATCTGCTGCTTTTATTCCTAGGCTATTTATAAAACCATCTTCTTCATAGCCAACCCTGTACGGCATAAATGCTAAGGGACGCTCTAACAGGAATTGCACACTAACAGCAAACCCAGCCATGTCCACAGGGAATTTGCGTTTGGCAATCCAGCCATCATAGAAGCCAACTACTTTTCCATTCTTGACAATGGGTGTAGAGACTCCAAGTTTGGTCACCAGTCCCACAGGAAACATTGAAACCCTTTGAGTCCATCTCATCTGTAAGGAAAACAGGAATATGTAAGTTATAGAAAATGGTAATAGAAGTACACTTACAATATAAATACACAAGCTTGTCTAGCCATGTTTAGGGTGCAGTCGCACCTCCACAGATCTCCAGTATCAGCTCTTGATACTGATAATGGCTCAAAAGGGCCACCACTTACGGGCTATTCATGCCCGTGCCATCTTTTGGGTGGCTTAATCTTCATCAATCAATCAATAGCCATGTCATAGTACAAGGTGACATCCATGGAAGCTGAACATGCAATTGAGACGACGAGATATAAGGAAGTTCTTGTTCCCTGTATGGGTAATGACCATGTTGAATACATTGAAGGAAGAGGTTACTGAAGCCAATTCCATCCACAACTTAAAAAAATTATGTTACTAATTTACCCATTTTACTGTTGGATAAACACAGGCTACAGTTAAGGATTGACACCCAGTAAATCCTCCCCGGTCAGGATACGAACCAAGGACAAAGCGCTCGCGAAATGCCAGGCTTACCACTTCACCACGGGGACTGTGAAGCATTGGTATAGCCCAATAAGCTCCAGATTATGTACTTAAGTTGATTGGCAGTTGAGAGGCAGAGCCAAAGCTCAACCCCCACAAGCACAACTAGGTGAATACCGATAAGTGAGCTAAGTACTGGACGATAGAGCGACGGTCTCGCTTCCTGCAGACTGGCGTTCAATCCCCGACCGTCCAAGTGGTTGGGCACCATTCCTTCCCACCGTCCCATCCCAAATCCTTATCCTGATCCCTTCCAAGTGCTATATAGTCGTAATGGCTTGGCACTTTCTCTTGATAGTTCCCGTTAGCCTCCAGGGATATCCAAAGGTATCGGTCCGTCTAATTACCCAAAGCCACCCAAAGCTTCCTGGCATTACGCTAGTAATGAATAAATATGATATATTTACTCATTATAATGTTGATGCTGAATGTAGAACACGGAAAAACATATTTTTACTCTGAAAAAGTATAATTTCATCACGAAATTAGACGAAAATAAGCTGCTGGTGACGCCAAAGCAAGTCGACGGTCCAAGCGACAATGTTGTGGAGCGACTTATCCAAGATATATTGTTGCGTACAGGTTATATTTTCTTAAGTTTGGATAGGTTAGGGAGGTACAGGAGGGTGATATGCCAGGAAATACTCTTTAGGCAACAATGTGTCTTGGATAAGTCGCTCCACAACAGTGTCGCTTGGACCGTCGACTTGCTTTGGCGTCACCAGCAGCTTATTTTCGGCTAATTTCATTATGAAATGATACTTTTTCAGAGTAAAAATATGTTTTTCCATGCTCTACATTCAGGACCAAAATTATAATGAGTAAATATATCATATTCATTACTAGCGTAATGCCAGGAAGCTTTGAGTAATTAGACGGACCCAAAGGTATAATCCAGCATCGATTTTCAACAGATTATCTAGATTATTGAGCTTGAGATTGCTGACCATTTAGTGATATACATAGTACAGTACTTGATTTACTAAATATAATATAGTTTCAAAAATGTTGATAAGCATAGTTTTGAATGAATAGTGCTGAATGATTGTTGAATTTTAATGTTGTGAATTGTAAGGTGTAAACTAGACTTGCTTGCAATACTAAACCTAACTGTATATATAACAAATTTAGTAGCGAAAACCAAACCACACACCAGAAGATGATTCAATTCAATTTCTTTCTTTATTATACACCCCATACCCATCCCGTGGGCGGTGGTGTAAAGGGTTACAGAGGCACATAATCGGTTCAGGAACTGAACCCTCTAGCTCGTTTAGCTAAGCAACTAACAATCTTTTGACGCTAGTTACACAATTATTAATGTTGTATTCACATGTACACACTCATACATACATGTAAATATATATATACGTATACATATATACATACACATACATATCTAATCACCCACACAAGTACACACATCAATAATCTTTGTGTCACAAGTGATCAACAAGAGGCTCACAACAGTCACTATACAAGGCACTTTACATCTATACCAGAAGATGAGACGACGATGTTTCGGTCCATCCTGGACCATTAGCAAGTCAATTGTGTAGTCGAAATACAAACAAATTTTTTTTAGTATTTCTTAAAAGTTAGAAGTTCAATAGAAAAACACAACAATAATACTAGTAAACTATAGTGACTACTGTAAAGACCATCTACTTATGAATATAATAATATTGATGCAAGAACCGACCTGCTCAAAGATGCGGATGTCATAAGTGTTGTCGTCGTCAGCAAAGTACAAGACGCCATCTTTGGCATTTGCACGAACCCAGTTTATTCCGGCCATGCGGTTGGCCACCCCTCGGGGCTTGTTCTTCACTCTCTTGTATTTGGATGGCATCTGGACTGAAGATTAAAAATAAAGTATAATATAGTATAATGTATATTTGTAAAAAGAAGGATATGTAGAGAATAAATTACAATAATATAAGTGAAACAAATAACCTAACCCTCATATATGAAATGAAAGTGCAACCCGTCCTAATATGTTAGCATATTGTGCTTATAGGCATAGGTTACGTTAGGTGTTTAGGTTCTGTTGGCGATTATTTCTATTTGTAGTACGTGGGTGAAGCATTTCAACCCGTCCTCGACTCAAGTCCATTACATTCAGCGGTCAACCCCACAGACGCATTCATAAATTTTAACATGCTGTTTATTCAAAACGGGAATTTTCTCAAGTATAAATTGATATTATAATATATTAGCATATTGTGTATAAATAGGCATAGGTTAGGTTAGGTCAGGTGTTTAGGTTCTGTTGGCGATTATTTGTATTTGTAGTACGTGGGCAAAGCATTTACAGCGTTGTGGTTCGAACAAAATTCGTCAGTGAAGCACTTGTTCCGGATATGTTCGAACGTCGGCAGTTTTGAGTCGTGTGTAAACCGCTTTTCATTCATAAACAGGGGGTTTGGCGGGTGCATGGAATCACTTTTGGATCTTTGTTTGGAGGACGGGCTGATCAATAAGAAGTGTGGTTCGAACAGAGAACGTGAGCGAAGCACTTGTTCCAGAAGTGTTCGGATATCATCAGTCGTGTGTAAATCGTTTTTCATTCATAAACAGGGGGTTTGGCGGGTGAATGGAATGGACTATGGCTTTTGTTTATGAGGACGGGCTGGAAAGTGGCCATTTTGGTCCATTGTGAATAAAGTTGGTAATTGACTTAAAAGTTTTTATATATCTGTAAGGGTGGAGATGAATATTTAGGAAATGCAGTTGTCAGTAAGATGGGTTATGCTGGTTTGGGTGCCTCAACCATTTTTAGCTAGGATAGTCCTTAAAAGTAAACTCAAATTCACTTATAATATCAATAGGTGAAGCCACAAGACCAATTTTAAAACGAATAATGAATTTATAAAGCTAATAATTAATTCCCTAAAAATAATTTAATGTGCACTTGCATTCAGCTAAAGTCACTATCACAGAAAATAGTACTCTTACCTCGAAGATAAACAGTACTGAGACCTGTTTCATTAAGGTATTGAACTACAGATGGAGATGAAATGGCAGAGTCCTCAGAGACAATCCACACCACATTTGGTACATTCATAAGTGTCTGAGCCGTGCGAGTGAGCTCGGGCACCTGCTCTGCTCTTGGGTAGGTCGGGGTAACGATGTACAGCGGAGGGAGGCCCTCTACCCATTTCCTTCCACCGCATCTTTCAACATTGACATTATTCAAGTATTGTGTTTCCAACACATTCTGAAAATAATATTAAAATTACGGTCTAAGTTAAAGCATTTAGAGAGACCCCTCATGAGATTTTTATAGTCAAGTATGAAATATTCGGTATTTACCAGAGAGATTTTCAGTGTTTCGTAAAACTTTTCTAAGAAGGGGATCAATGGGGTGAAGAGGTGGGAAGGTTCCCAGGTGCAGCAGGTGGTGCGTGTGACTGGTGCAGCAGGTGGTGCGTGTGACTGGTGCAGCACGTGGTGTGTGACTGGTATAACACGTGGTGAGTGTGACTGGTATAACACGTGGTGTGTGACTGGTATAACACGTGGTGTGTGACTGGTATAACACGTGGTGTGTGACTGGTATAACACGTGGTGTGTGACTGGTATAACACGTGGTGAGTGTGACTGGTATAACACGTGGTGAGTGTGACTGGTATAACACGTGGTGTGTGACTGGTATAACACGTGGTGTGTGTGACTGGTATAACACGTGGTGCGTGTGACTGGTATAACACGTGGTGTGTGTGACTGGTATAACACGAGCTCACCTGGTGTTGGGGCTGACGTAGAGGGTGTGGTGCCTGGCGGTTGATGGCGCTGAGGGCTCTGACGGGGCCTCGGACCTCGCCACCATCCTCCCGGCGGGTAGTGGAGCGCATTGCCAGCCCCACCAGCAGCAGGAGAGCCACCGCCACCACCCACGTCCCCACCAGCCGCAGATTTCCTCCTCTCACCATACTCTGCAAGACAATAAAACACACGTAATTTACCTGAATGCCTTTACGGGCTCACCATAGCCCGTGCTACATGGACACTTCGTTCTGAGTAGCTAAATCTAAAACAAAACAAACATCTCTCATCCCCAGTACCCAGCCACAACAGCAGAGTAAATCACTGAATTCTCCAACTGTTTATCATACTGTCTCTCAATCCTTTACTTCCGCTTCCCTATCATGCCCTGATTCCACACCTAATGACCTACCACCCCCTCCAGGCCAACCATTACCCCGCCCACTGCTCACTAACAACAATTTCGAAAGCCTCTCCCAACCCCTGGGGCAAATCTGGGAATATGACGTTGATGTAACCACGAATCGACGTTAAAACGTTGAACCAACGTTGATTTAACACACCATTTGGTCCGGGAGACATCTCCCGTCACGCAGGGTGCAGTCGCACCTCCACAGATCTCCAGTATCGGCTCTTGATACTAGTAATGGCTCAAAAGGGCCACCACTTACGGGCTATTCATGCCCGTGCTACCTCTTGGGTGGCTTAATCTTTATCAATCATCTTTGATTTAACATTATTCGAACACCCTCCCCCCCCTCAGTATACACCCCAACCAACCATAATCTACCAATCCAACTACATCAATTTCACATCTAACTTGTCAAAGATGATTTTTAATTTTTGATTGTTGCCCCCGGAGGCGGCTAGTTTATGGTGCACCCCATACTCATCCTGTGAACGGTAGCGCAAAAAGCATTACAGAGGGCACAAAAGGTCTTTATCAGACCTTATCTTAGGTGTCAAAGGTGAGTTGCCAGTGTTCCTGAAGTTTTCTCCATCCTTAATGTCTTGACATTTGCTGTTTCGACGGGTAAGCAGTTCCACAGGCTTAATTCATAATTAACAATTTATTTCATCGGGGACTGGTAGCCTGTCTATATATGCGTCAGGCTTATTATCCAGGCCACCCCCCCCCCATCCGAGGTTGAACTACTGACCCTCCTCATGATACAACACAACAAGCCAGCTAGCTCCTGAGTACCTACTCACTGCTTGGTGAACAGAGGCATGAGTGCTTTCCCGGCGGAAGCAAATGGACAGAGTTTCTTTCACCCTGATGCCCCTGTTACCTAGCAGTAAATAACATAAGAACAAAGGTAACTGCAGAAGGCCTATTGGCCCATACGATGTGTGACTGGTATAACACGTGGTGAGTGTGACTGGTATAACACGTGGTGTGTGACTGGTATAACACGTGGTGTGTGACTGGTATAACACGTGGTGTGTGACTGGTATAACACGTGGTGTGTGACTGGTATAACACGTGGTGAGTGTGACTGGTATAACACGTGGTGAGTGTGACTGGTATAACACGTGGTGTGTGACTGGTATAACACGTGGTGTGTGTGACTGGTATAACACGTGGTGCGTGTGACTGGTATAACACGTGGTGTGTGTGACTGGTATAACACGAGCTCACCTGGTGTTGGGGCTGACGTAGAGGGTGTGGTGCCTGGCGGTTGATGGCGCTGAGGGCTCTGACGGGGCCTCGGACCTCGCCACCATCCTCCCGGCGGGTAGTGGAGCGCATTGCCAGCCCCACCAGCAGCAGGAGAGCCACCGCCACCACCCACGTCCCCACCAGCCGCAGATTTCCTCCTCTCACCATACTCTGCAAGACAATAAAACACACGTAATTTACCTGAATGCCTTTACGGGCTCACCATAGCCCGTGCTACATGGACACTTCGTTCTGAGTAGCTAAATCTAAAACAAAACAAACATCTCTCATCCCCAGTACCCAGCCACAACAGCAGAGTAAATCACTGAATTCTCCAACTGTTTATCATACTGTCTCTCAATCCTTTACTTCCGCTTCCCTATCATGCCCTGATTCCACACCTAATGACCTACCACCCCCTCCAGGCCAACCATTACCCCGCCCACTGCTCACTAACAACAATTTCGAAAGCCTCTCCCAACCCCTGGGGCAAATCTGGGAATATGACGTTGATGTAACCACGAATCGACGTTAAAACGTTGAACCAACGTTGATTTAACACACCATTTGGTCCGGGAGACATCTCCCGTCACGCAGGGTGCAGTCGCACCTCCACAGATCTCCAGTATCGGCTCTTGATACTAGTAATGGCTCAAAAGGGCCACCACTTACGGGCTATTCATGCCCGTGCTACCTCTTGGGTGGCTTAATCTTTATCAATCATCTTTGATTTAACATTATTCGAACACCCTCCCCCCCCTCAGTATACACCCCAACCAACCATAATCTACCAATCCAACTACATCAATTTCACATCTAACTTGTCAAAGATGATTTTTAATTTTTGATTGTTGCCCCCGGAGGCGGCTAGTTTATGGTGCACCCCATACTCATCCTGTGAACGGTAGCGCAAAAAGCATTACAGAGGGCACAAAAGGTCTTTATCAGACCTTATCTTAGGTGTCAAAGGTGAGTTGCCAGTGTTCCTGAAGTTTTCTCCATCCTTAATGTCTTGACATTTGCTGTTTCGACGGGTAAGCAGTTCCACAGGTTTAATTCATAATTAACAATTTATTTCATCGGGGACTGGTAGCCTGCCTATATATGCGTCAGGCTTATTATCCAGGCCACCCCCCCCCCCATCCGAGGTTGAACTACTGACCCTCCTCATGATACAACACAACAAGCCAGCTAGCTCCTGAGTACCTACTCACTGCTTGGTGAACAGAGGCATGAGTGCTTTCCCGGCGGAAGCAAATGGACAGAGTTTCTTTCACCCTGATGCCCCTGTTACCTAGCAGTAAATAACATAAGAACAAAGGTAACTGCAGAAGGCCTATTGGCCCATACGAGGCAGCTCCTATTTATAACCACCCAATCCCACTCATATACATGTCCAACCCACGCTTGAAACAATCGAGGGACCCCACCTCCACCACGTTACGCAGTAATTGGTTCCACAAATCAAGAGCCCTAAATGTGATTTACTTCTCTAAACATTTTAACAATCGCCTGTAGTTTGAACAAATAATAGTGAATAAAAAGAAGCATCAAAAAAGTACTGTAGAAATATTAGGCAAGCAAAGGCTTGTTGGTAACAAAAGGCCATAAAAAAGAGAGCAAGGTAGCATGGATATGTTCCTTGAACAAATCCACAAGGGCCACAAGGGTTCGTATCCCCGTCACGGCCCTTGTGGATTTGTTAATCAACAACCCTGTTACCGAACCAGTATTTACCCAAGTCTCAGACAGGACGTTTTGTGCCAGAGATAGGGCGGGGGAACAGGTTAAGGGTCTGCTATCCGGGAGCTGGTATTGGAGATATTGTTGACAACATGAAAGATATTATGACGGGAAATGGGAACAAACTCATTATTTGTATTAGTGCAAGGGGGTAATGATGTTGGACGAGTTAGGAGTGAGGAACTGATAAAGAAATTTAACAAAGCCATAGAATTAGTTAGGAGCAAGGGAGGAATCCCGATCATATGTGGCATTCTTCCGAGAAAGAGCGTTGGGAATGAATGGTTGTCGAGGGCACTTGGTGTCAATTGCCAGATGGAAAGATATTGCAAATCAAATGCAATATCTTTCATAGACAACTGGGAACACTTCTATGGAAGAAGTGATATGTATGCTCGTGATGGGGTGCATCTATCGAAGGCTGGGGTTGTTGCTGTTGCGAACTCGTTGGAACCAGTGGTTAGAGGTGTTTGTTTGGATTTAAACTGTTAGTAGATAGTGGTATGGTAATTGATAGGGAGGAAGGAGGTAATAAAAGTATGTGTTTGTTGGAGAAACAAATTGGTAAAATGATCAGAGAAAGAGAAGGGCCTCAAAATAACAATTCACTTAGGGTATATTACACCAACAGTAGAAGTCTAAGAAACAAAATAAATGAGTTAAATGCCCTTGTCTGTAAAAAAAAAAAATAGATATTATTGCACTTACCGAAACGTGGATGAATGTAGAAAATAGAAAACTATTAGCTGAATATCAAATAAATGGATTTAAACTATTTCACACAGATAGATATATTAGACGAGGAGGGGGAGTAGCCATATATGTTAGGGACAATTTGAAATGTAGTCTCAAAGAGGGAATCAAAACTGAGCCACACACAGAAACTATTTGGATAGAATTAAACGAAAAAGCAAATGATACTATAATAAGAGTTATTATACAGTATATAGGCCACCAAATTTAGACAGAATGGAAGCAAAGCATCTATGGGATGAAATATCTAGAGCATCTAGATCTAACAGAATTTATGTCATGGGTGACTTTAATTTTAGCGGAATAAACTGGGTGAACAAAACAGGGAATAATGAAGCAGAAGAGTTTCTAGAATTAATTGACGATTGCTTTCTTACGCAACACATTAAGGAACCAACACGGGAAAATAATATTTTGATTCAGTGTTAACTAACAGGGAAACACAAATTAAGGACATCGAAATAGGGAGTGAGCTAGGGAACAGTGATCATAAAGAAATCGTATTTAGCATAGAATGGAATAGATCTGTAGGAGAAAATTCTGTTAAAGTGCCTGATTTTCGAAAAGCTGATTTCAATAGCCTAAGAAATTTTTTGGACTCGTTTATTAATTTATGTTTTTCAAGATGAAGACGAATAGTATTTGCAATTATCGATTCAAGTAACTTTCCCACAATAGACGTTAGGCTAATTGGCCGATAGTGTGATGCAAGTGATATATATATATATATATATATATATATATATATATATATATATGCGAACAAGCCTGAATGGTCCCCAGGACTATATGCGAATGAAAACTCACACCCCAGAAGTGACTCGAACCCATACTCCCAGAAGCAACGCAACTGGTAACTACAGGGCGCCTTAATCCGCTTGACCATCACGGCCGTCAAAAGGAAGTGATAGCCGAGGCTATTTGAGCCACTTCCCCGACGGCAACTCGGATGGTAATCTTGGGCATAGCATTTCACCAAATCACCTCATTCTTTGGGGCACACGTGAGGAACACAAATGCGAACAAGCCTGAATGGTCCCCAGGACTATATGCGAATGAAAACTCACACCCCAGAAGTGACTCGAACCCATACTCCCAGAAGCAACGTGTGCCCAAAGAATGAGGTGATTTGGTGAAATGCTATGCCCAAGATTACCATCCGAGTTGCCGTCGGGGAAGTGGCTCAAATAGCCTCGGCTATCACTTCCTTTTGACGGCCGTGATGGTCAAGCGGATTAAGGCGCCCTGTAGTTACCAGTTGCGTTGCTTCTGGGAGTATGGGTTCGAGTCACTTCTGGGGTGTGAGTTTTCATTCGCATATAGTCCTGGGGACCATTCAGGCTTGTTCGCATTTGTGTTCCTCACGTGTGCCCCAAAGAATGAGGTGATTTGGTGAAATGCTATGCCCAAGATTACCATCCGAGTTGCCGTCGGGGAAGTGGCTCAAATAG